CAGCCCTGGCTAGAGACCACGTTGTTAACATAGCACAGCAGAGAGCCCCAAAGCTACTGGATCACCCTCCCTGCCACCCCCTATTCTGTAGCAGCATCTTCTTGGTGTACTGACTGACTGGGCAGCATTTCACACATCTTTCAGATGGGGCTGCGTTAAGCTCTTGAGCATTTTCCTGAATACTTTAAGATATTAATATATATATTTTTAAATGCTGGGAGCAGGGTCACAAAAATATATAAATTCTAGAGACTTGGATTTGAGCACTGCTAGGGAGGTGCTTTCTCTTTAAGAGAAAGGCTGTATGAAGGTGGTAGGACATATTTGGAGTCATAGAGATGAAATTCTCCAGTAAAACTGACTTAATCTCTTAATCAACTCACCTGTTTGTCAAGGACTCGGATACATTCAAACTTTTTTTTGTGTGTGTGTGTGTGTGTGTGTGTGTGTGTGTGTGATTTATTTTTATTGCATTCAGCCCTTTTTTTTGGTGATTTATTTATTTTTATTGCATGTATGGCTGTGTATATCCCCTGGATCTGGAGTCACAGACAGTTGTAAGTTGCCACGTGGATGCTGGGAATTGAACTGGGTCCTCTGGAAAAAGAGCCAGTGCTCTTAACTGCTGTGCTGTCTCTCTACACACCATCCTCGAACATTCGAATTCATAGAAGAAGCAGGGAGGGGGACACATAGCACAGTGGCAGTTCTGGCTGCACCTGGACTCTGTCCCATCAGCATTTGCTGCTCCTTTGCTGCTATAAGCCCAAGAACTAGATGTGGAATTAATCTTCCCTGCTAGATCACTGCCTGTTCTCTGCTCCTTTCCCTTAATAACTTTCTAGGGGAGCAGTTCCCCTTAGCGAGGACCCAAGTTGGGGCTTGCTAAACCACATGCCCACCCTTCCATTTGTGTTTTGAGCTTCTGATGTTTTATATTTATTCATTTGTTATTTATACAGTACTCTGCCTGCATGTATGCCTGCACACCAGAAGAGGGCACCAGATCTCATTATAGATGGTTATGAGCCACCATGTGGTTGCTGGAAATTGAACTCAGGGCCTTTGGAAGAACAGCCAGTGCTCCTAACCTCTGAGCCATCTCTCCAGCCCTTATGATGGGTTTTAGCAACTACCAACTTTTCCCCCTGTATCCAGCTCCCTTCAACAGCCACCCCCCCTTGATTCTTGTCTTCACATAGTGAGTTGTTTATTAACAGCAGCAAGGCTGAGGGAAGTTCTGCCTGAAACTGGGGAAAAAACCAAAGTGTATTACCAGGGAACATAGCTGTGGACAGTGATCTTAGTTTATTGTGCAACTGTTTAAGTCAAGAAGTAGACCTGGACATTGGAAGAAGGAGAAAACAAGAAAACAGGACAGGAGCCTCTGAAAGACTCTACCTAGCAGTTTATCAGAGCAGATGCTGAGACTCATAACCAAACTTTGGGCAGACTTCAGGGAATCATATGAAAGAAGGGGGAGTTAGTAAGACCTGGAGAGGACAGGAGCTCCACAAGGAGAGCAACAGAACCAAAATATCTGGGCCCAGGGGTCTTTTCTGAGTCTGATACTCCAACCAAGGACCATTCATGGAGATAACCTAGAACCGCTGCACAGATGTAGCCCATGGCAGCTCAGTATCCAAGCGGGTACCCTAGTAAGGGGAATGGGACTATCTCTGACATGAACTCAGTGGCTGGCTCTTTGATCACCTCCCCCTGAGAGAGAAGCAGCCTTCCCAGGCCACAAAGGACATTGCAGTCTGTCCTGATGAGACCTGATAGGCTAGGATCAGATGGAAGGGGAGGAGGACCTCCCTATCAGTGGACTTAGAGAGGGGTATTGAGAGGAGATGAGGGAAGGAGGGTGGGATTGGGAGGGAATGAGGGAGGGGGCTACAGCTGGGATACAAAGTGAATAAAATGTAATTAATGTAAAAAAATAAAAATTTAATTAAAAAAAGAAGTTGACCTGGAACTTCATAATAAAGTAACTAATTATAAATTCTATTCACTCTGCATCTAATATGTCATCAGCCTTAACAAATGGTGATTTTACAGGCTCTTAGAAGGAGGTGGCAGCATCTTTGTTTTAATGGACACAGACTTAGACCCCCTCCAAGGTCATGTGACTCACACAAAGTCAAGTAGCTGGTTGAGAGCAGACAATTCAAGCATCGGTGAGTCTGGCTACAAAGTCACCAGTCTGCCACAGTGCCTAGTTATTATCCACCCTTGGCTGAGCATGCCCTTCCTCCAAAAATGTTGCTAGTTTTTGAGAATGAGTAGGAAAGGAGTTGGAACAAAATGTGCCTGAATATCCGCAGGCTGACACTTTGGTTACCCCACAGTTGAGTAGATAACACTTCCGAAAATGAGGTCTTCAGGAGCAACAGGATCACAACTGTTCTGCCTGTGTTTGTTGCTTCTAGAATAATTACAGTTTTTTCCTTTAACGTATTTGATCATGCTGAAAATAAAGGTAGCTGTTTCTCCTGGTTTAAAAAAAAAGACAAAAAAATGCACGTTTACTGTAGGAGATGCAGATGCACACAAAAACGGATGTCCGAAAGTACCAGAAGCTGCCTGCGGTGGAGGGCTGGACCCCCGCCCTGCTCTGCCGTTCACCAGGTGTGGGGCCTTGGTCTAATCACTTCTGGTCTCATTTCTGGTCTGTGAAGCTGGAAATAGCCTGCATCATTTTGGCAAGATAAGAGTCGACAGCCAGAGGCCTCTAGGAAGTGACCCAGAGGTTGTTAATTTTAATGATCTCAGGGCTTTCCTTTCTGGGCCTGCATGTATATGTGTTAACCTATATGCTACTGGGTGTGAATGAAAATAAGATATTTTAAGCCAGGTTGTGTCTTTTCATCAGGTAACACATCTCGACCATCTATCCTTATCACTAAACAGCTTCCACCATTGCCTGACGTAGGCTTACAATCCGGGATGGGATGGTGTGAGGGGAATTGGATGTGTCGTTGCAGGTGTGTGTGTGTGTGTGTGTGTGTGTGTGTGTGTGTGTGAAGTGAAGGGGCAGCAGGTACAGACTTCTAGTCTTCCACTAACATGACATGACATGACATAACATAACATCACAGATTGGTTTTAAAGTGGGTGATGGGAGCTCTCTCTTCCAGAGCCTTCCTAACCCATCCTCCCCATGTGGTGAGGACCAGGAAGGATTCCTTGGGGAGTGCAGAGCCTGCCTTGATCCAGTGTGGCAGAACTGTGAACTCACATGCCCTGGCTCTCTTTGAAGTTAGAAAAACAGTTCCAATGAATTTGATCTGCTCTCCGGACGCACGGAAGTCACCAATCAGAGCATCATTCTCTGCTTCTTGCTCTCCGAGAAGCTGTCCTTTAAGGGCTCTGAGGTCAAGCTGTATGTCTTGCTTCCCAGGTTGGACCGCCATGCTCCACCCTTCCGGGAGGTGGGCTGCTGTAACTGGCCTTGCCTTTTAGGGTGGGAGTTTTTGGTGATACAGTTATTGACCCCTTTTCTCTTGCAGTGTTCATTGATCCATCCTCTTTTAAGCCCCTCCCCCACATCCGAAAACCTCATCTTGCATCTCTACCCCAACACCTTCAGGTGCATTGTATGTACAGATTCAAGGGATGTACTTGTCTGTTCAGCCCAACCTCCAGAAGGCAAAAGAGAGTGACCTGGGACAGAAGTCTCATGTGGAATTCTCCTCAAAGAAGGTTCATGACTGTAATAATATCCCTTTCTTCCTATCAGAAAACATCTGTGTGAAACTTGGCAGCACCTTCCAAAGGAACCCGCCTGCCCTGCAGGATGCTGTTGGCTGACTGAGCTCAGACACTGCCGCTTCCCCAGGACATTGAAGGGAAGGGCTCAGTCTCTGCACTCTTAAGAAGTGAGTATATCACACTGCGGAGAAGTAGAGATGCTGTTGGTTGTTGGGGTGGTGTGTCTTTGAGAGCTGTGCTGAGAGGAATAATGACGTATTTCACAGCGGCGAAGCTGAACGCATTAAGGAACTCTCTCCATGTTTCCCAGAGTGCTTTTTAATTAGTTTCCTCCTGACACCCTCCCTGTGAGAGAGGTTAAGTAGCACCACCTTCTTCCCACTGATGAGACTCTGAAACTATGAGAGGCTAATTGATTTGCCTTGTGATGCCCCTACTCCCGGCCCCTGGAGGGATTTCCTCTATCCATAACACCTGCTTTTCATGTCAAAGCCAGGGCTGCCTGGGTAGAGGATGGAAGGCTTGTTGCCAAGATGGAACACCCTTGCTCACCATATCTTTTTTTTTTTGTTCTTTATATTTTAGCTTTTTTTTTTCTTTTTTTGAGGCAGGGTCTCTCACGTAGCCAGCTGCCCTTTGACTCACTGTATGAGCTTCCGATCCTCCTGCCTCCCCCTCCTGAGTGCTGGGATCACAGTTACAGGTGGACACATGTGGTTCTATGTGGTGCCTGGGACTGAGCCCAGGATCTGTGTTGTGTGTGATAGGCACGTGCTCTGTCAGCTGCACCACATCTCTAGCCACTTCTCCCTCCACCTCTTCTTCCAAGGGAAGAAGAGGGATCAGACCTACAGCCTTCTTCTTGCATTCCTGTTTGGGGATTGCTGAGACAGTAGTCGACGTGGTGTCCTTCAGACTGCAGACTCAGATCCTTGACCTGGATGTGGCTTTCCTTCCTTGAGCTAAGCGGCAAGCATGATGGAGGGACGGCAGAAGGAAAGTTTTTGGCTCAATTACCCAGTCTTGACAGGGATGTCCTTTGTGTTTGAGATGTAGAGGGCTTAGAAATCTGATGCTTTGTCCTTGAGATTCACATGTTGGGCTTTTTTTGTAGAAGGGTTGCCAGTTGTCCCCGGCACACATTCCTTTTAAAGTTTGTTTATAGCTGGCATATTGCAATGCATGTATCTAGACTATGGAGGTGGCTTGGTTTCTAATATAGCAGTCCCTAGCATCTCTCCCTCTTGCTTCCAACAAACCTGCCACAGATTAAATCATCTTAGCATTCTTTTTAAAATTTTTAATGTTTATTTTTATTTTATGTGCATTAATATTTTGCCTGCATATATGTCTGTGTGAGGGAATTGGATCCCCTGGAACTGAAGTTAGAAGGCAGATGTGAGCTGCCATATGGGTGTTGAGAATTGAACCCTGGTCTTCTAGAAGAGGAACCAGTGCTCTTAATCACTGAGCCATCTCTCCAGCCCCGGTATTCTTCTTCTAGAGATATAGCGGATCCTTGCCACAAAGCCAGGTTTGAGTGTGCCTTTGAAGGCTGCAGTCTTGGATAAGAAATTGCCATATTAATGTTGGTTATTCTTGTGTACTGCATGTACTTTCCCTCTGGCTCTATAAGGCCCTCCAGTAACTAGCTAAATACTTGTAAGAATGTCAGAGGCTTACAGAGGGTAGGGTTCACAAAAAAGGAGGAAAGCACAGGATTTTGACACAGCAAAACTGGTTTCTTGTCTACACCACAGTATAGGGAGAATTGTTATTAGTGCGTTTCTTTCTTTCTTTCTTTCTTTCTTTCTTTCTTTCTTTCTTTCTTTCTTTCTCTCTCTCTTTCTCTCTTTCTTTCTTTCTCCCTTCCTTCCTTCCTTCCTTCCTTCCTTCCTTCCTTCCTTCCTTCCT